CCATCTGCATATAGCTTTTTGACAGGATTTTAAAGAACAGTTGACGTGACGCCACTTCTTTTGGGTTTCTGGTCAGCTTTAAGATTAGTCCTGCTTGTGTAATTGAAGCGAGTTTCTCAGTACAAAAGCGTCCCTACAACCAAAGGAGCTGATTCTTAAGGGATTTCTCTGAATGACTTGTTCCCAGAGGAAGTGATACGTACCGTTGTTATTTTTCAACATCTAGTTTTATAACATTTAATTGCACACTGGGTGTATCTTTACAGTGCCCTTTACACCTAGATGTAACACTATAGGGTCCTGAGGGAAATGAAATGCATTGTGCTGGGTGACTATGTGATCGCAGTCAGATATCAGCTTCAGGTGATGATTACCTTTGCATGTGAACCTTTGCTTCCTCATCCATGTTGGTTTTGTTGCTTGGAGGTAAAGCAGATATCCTCAGCTGGAGCTCCTAATGATCAAGTCAGTACTCCCTGATCCAAGTCTGCATCAGGACTAATCCGGCAGGGGATACTGCTATCCCCTGGGTTGCAGTAAAGAAATGGAGATGTGGCTTGAAGCAAGAAGACGCAGAATAGGCAGGACCTGTAAGTGTGTTCACCTGATAACATCCAGAAACTGTTTTTGTGCATGCACCTGCTGGGCCACATTTGGCATAGCCAACACCTGCAACTTACCTGTACAGCAGGACTGTAAAAATCAATTGATTTTCATATGTTAGTAGCCTGGGGATCTTCTCCCAGGGTGAGAGGCTTCCTCGACCCACTCCCACTCAGAGGGGTCTTGTCAGGCTGCACCTTAGTACTGTTGCAGATGGTATGAGATAAAAGAAAATGGAACAGGACTGCACTCATAAAGACTGAGTATGCACAATGCTATCCCTTGACATGTTCTTGTAATTCTTTAAAAGGTGACTAAAAGCTGAAGTCCATAAAAGAACAGCTTTCTTTTTGAAGAACGTTAGCCGTAGCCATACATATGTGCACAAGATGTCGAGACTGAAAGTAATTAAAAAAAAAAGTGGAAAATCTCATTATTCTGCATTTTTTATTTGGCAGCAGGTTGAATTGTTTTGCTTGCGTCAGCTTTGAGGAAAAAAGGTAGTTTAGGGCCCCTTTCTTAGCTTTGACAGCCCAAGATCCCATTTCCAGAGGTGGCACACACGCAGGGATGTTCAGATGCCTACTCGGCGCCCTGTCCCAGCAGGGGCCGATGTGTCAGAGCTGGGGAAGGCATGTCTCTGATATGGCGGATCTAGGTGTCAACATTAATAACCACAAGGTAGCAAAGTGCTACGGAGAATTTTACCTCCTGTCTGATTCCCTTTGCTCCCGTCTTGCGATCTTGGCTGCCTTAGGTACACTCTGGGAGTGGTCTGTCTTTGGTCTGGCAGTGGGCAATCTCAGTGATTAGTGACATTGTGTAGGAAGAGGATCTGACCATATGGTTAGATTTAAGGAGGCCCTTTTAACACCTTTGTGGAATAAAAGCTGTAAACTCTCCTAAAAAATGAAAAATTTAGGTTGTGGTAAAATGAGCTACGTAACAATGAGTTCATCTTTTTTAACTTGGTGACTTATGTCTAGAAAACGTTTTGAACCTTGCCGTTCGCACAGCTGGGGGCGAATTTAAGTGACACCGACTTTTATCTTGTTTTGTCTCTGCCTCTGTGCAGAGCCGGGTTCTAAGCGCAGTGCAGGCATGTCGTCTCACTCTGCGCCCTGTGCTCCCAGGACAGGCACCGGCTGGCTGCAACCCCTGCCTGGGGTGTGCGGCTTTTGGGGTGGTGGACACATGGGCCTTCAGGTCTGCCAGAGGGGTCAGTACCTGGCAGGGGCCTGTTTAGTAGCGTCCGCGTGTTCTCGAACAGGATGTAGCCAGGGAGTCAAGACCTCAGCAGGTGTGAAAAGACCTTCCTCCGCTACCAGATGATCTGACTCGGGCATTTGGAAAATCCGGGATAGGGACACTAATGCAAAATGAATGTCCCACTTCTCCAGACTTCCTTCAGCATGCTTGTTAGCCAGTAACTAATGACCACTTCCTGTTGTTAATTAGCTGCGCTCATCCTTGCAGAGCTGTGTGAATAGATCCCCAGTAATCCCTCACAGATCGCCATTGTGTGAGAGCAGGCCACAGCTGCCCGCGAGTAAAGACTGCATTGTTGGAGCGCAGGCACATTTTCTCCGGCAGCCGTGTTACGACACTTCCTGCCTGCAAAGACAGCCCTCGCTCTCGGCCAGGAAAAGAGCCTCCTGCAGACCCGGAGCGCGAGACGGCTCTCGAGGACTCGGTGGTAAAATCGCTGGATCTA